GTATCTGGTTTTTGTCATTTTAACTTTCTGTTTGTTTTTGTTTTTGTTTCCCAGAATAAAACAATAAAGGCATGACGCCCCGATTTATCGGATCGTCATGAGGGGGAGAGTGGTCCACATGTTGATAACTCTCAACAAATCATTCTGGGACACTTCTCTCCTCCAACAAATCATATTCTATCTCTACAACCAAATTGTCAAGCCAACTACGAATCAAATGGTCAGATACGCTCACAAAACAACCATAATTTTCCCACAGTGACACCGAAAAGGTCTCCTCAAATGCATTCACTTCAAATAGTCAAAAAGATTACATTGTGAAGGAGACAAAAGTTAGATACTCGTATACTGAAGATAGATCCCGTGCGCGCTTGGAAATCATCAGAACATCCATTCTAGAGGTGCCTTCGGACTTCTGGAAGGCAAGGTTTACAAGCAAGTCAAAGGAAACTGAGCTGCACTGAAAAGACAAAGATATTTGCGCTACAATGTCGATTGAACACCAAGGGGGAGATTGTTAGGAGTATTTTATGGTGTCCAATCTAATTAAATATCTTTGTATTTGTGTAGTTATTAATTAAATGGGTAATATGGGCCACAAATGTATATCTGCCCATTAACTTTTTTGTAACCCATAAGTTAGCTATCCTCTCCTATAAAAGGAAGCTAACTTATGGAAAACCTAAGGCTTACATGGTATACCAAAGTTGCTCTCTCTCGAGTAGAGAGTATAGAGGCAAGATAGAGAGATTATGTTTACGCTGCTCTCTCTCTCTCGAGGGAGAGCATCGGCGTTTTACACGCTATACCAAAATTGTTGTTTATCTCAATATCTTTCTATCTGCCTCTTCTTCACCTGTTATGATTGTTTGATTGTTAGAAACAGGGACTAACATAGGAGTGTGCACCGGTTCAAAACCAGATCGAACTGGACCGGAACCGGATTTGCCATGATATGGAAACCGAAAACCAGACCGGATGTATTCCGGTTTTTATCTGGAACCAAACCGGTGTATCCAGCTCAAAACTGGAATCGGACCGGAAAAACCGGTTTCTAAATAAATAAGTGGTTTCTTTACTAAAAAAGCTACTAATCATTTAATAAAGATGGAGTGCTTATTATTAAAAATATTACTTTTATTATTATTGTTTTCTAAACTCATTTTAATTAATTTTAGTGAGCAAATATTGGAGTAACTTGAGACTAGAATAAAAATGAATGGATGGATAAATATAATATTACGATAATATATATTATAATCATTATGAAATTGATTGCTATTATATATTGTTATTAGTATGTAGTATTATTTTTTATTTTATAACTAGTATTATACGATAGTATTAGTATTAGTAAATATATTTTTAAAAATACAGCAAAATCGGTTAAATCCGGTCCAAATCGGAATAATCCGGTTTTAAACCGGAACCAGACCGGAAACCGGTTTCCTAATTTTTCATAACTGAAAACCGTACCGGGTATCATTCCGGTTCAATCCAGTTCCGGTTTTTCCGATCCGGTTCGGTCCGGTTTTCCGGTTTAAACCGGATAATGCACACCCCTAGTAACAAGCATCTACAAAGGGAAAATTCCCAAATTTTGCAGGCCTGTAGAGTATATACCTCTCCTAACCTCTTTGCAGAAAAAAAGCATAAAAAACCATCACAAATGCTTAAGGTACCCCAAAATGTACCCTATTTTTACCCCACCCTCTAATGTGTGTTCATAAATGGGGTCAATTCATTTATGGCCACACATAAATGAAGCAATTCATTTATGGCGCCATGTCCATTTTATGGCCACACGTTAGGGGTGGGGTAAAAATGAGTTACACTGTGTACCTCTACTAAAACTCAAAAACCATTAAACTGGCTACTCCATAACCACAGCTCCTATGAGTCTATGACCTTAAGTCATCTGCTGTATTTACAGTCACTGTGTAGATCTCGCAGTCGCCACTGCCACAAAACAACACATAAACCCTATTCATTTTAGACAACTCATTTCACCCCGGATCAGCCAAAAAGGTAGTACAATTTTCTCTGTGTGTTGTTTTTATGAAGTTCATTTCAGTGTTTGGAACATCATTTATTTCATCTGGGTTTCCACAATTCCACTTAGTGGGCATTTACATGCCGGAAATCTTGATGTTTTGAATAAATAATTGGGGAGTATTACTGAGATGGAGAGGAGGGGGTATGCCACGATGGGTGAGCCTTAAGGATTTCACATATGCTCTCTCACGATGGGTGCAATTAGTATTAGTTCAGTTTTTCTTTTAGGGCTATCCATCCTTCTCTCCTCACTCCTCAGTGTTACAGTCGTCGTTCGACTCTCTCAAGACAAAGTGGAACAGTCTTCTTCCCTCTGTTACACCTTTCGATCGACTCCTCCAGTCCTCCCCATGTAAATCAGATTTTTTCTTCAAACTGCAAGACTTCTTCTCCTTTTCCAAGGATTTTATTTTACCTAATATAATGCTCTCAGTGACTTTTTTCCATCATTTTCAATGGAGCCAAAGATTCATTATTTTTTGGCTTGAGATTATGATGGAATAAAGCAAAATGGCTCACTAAACTGTCTGCCCTTCTTTGTTATGAAGCAACAGCCAGTCCATGCAATTTTGGATGTGATTTTTTATTATGGGTCATCCGGAAACAGTCTCTCTGTGCTTTAATATAGGGGTAAGACTGCGTACATCCGACCCCCCTTACCCCACCGTAGGTGAGAGCCTTTGCGGCACTGGGGTAAATGAAAATGATGAATGCTCTCAGCGACTTGTACTCCTTTTGAATTTAAAGTTCCCAGATTCTATCGTTCTTTGTCTATTTTTCTTTTACATTTTTCCCTGCCACTTTGTAAAGTCCCCAACCCTCTTTTTTTAAAATTTGCCATTTACTCTGCTTTTGTCTATTTTGAAAAAAAAAAACAGATTTTCAGTCCATGATGGCATGATTAAACTTGTGATAATGATTGTTCACTCTGCTTCAGTCCATGATTAGCTTTTGTTTATTCTGTTTAGTCCATGATTCGCATAAAAAATTCAGTGTTAGTTAATCAACAATATGTAAAAGTTTAGAATGAACAATATGTAAAAATTGTTTTAAAATATGTTCTTGATTAATGCTCATTGTTTTAGTTTTTTTTCTAGAATGAGCAATATGTTAATGAGCAATTTTGGAATCAAAACTTGTTTTAATGAGTAATTGCTTTAAGTATTTGTACCCTTGCCTGATTTTATTTGCAAGTTATGTGTTAACATGAGTAATTAGCACTACTATTACTGTTATGATGACTACTATGGCTACTAGTTATGTGTTTTTGGCTTAATTATGCAATGGTTTGCTACATGCTTTCACTTTTATTGAAAGCTCAACCTCCTTGCTTATGTTCGTGATAGATCACTGGTAAAATACGACTAAGAACAGTAGAGAATCCAAAAGAATTGATCAAGAATTGATCAAGAAATCTTTATTGAAGAGAATAGTAGGAATACGTAGCCTCAGACAATTCGAGATGCCCAGTCTCCAAGCCTATTCCAACTGAATACTTGCCTCCCTATTTTCTCCCCTCCCATTCTATTTATACTACTACAAGTACACTTACTACTATTATTATTATTTCTATTAATGGGTTAAATGCGCCAAACCCCTTAATGGGTTAATGGATTAAAAAAATGCGTGAAACCCCTTTGTGTTTTAATTAATCATGCGCAAAAACCTCTTCAAGAACAAATTTTACATTTTTGAAATCACTTTTTTAATAATATGGTTGAATATGCAAGTAACTTTTGTCAAAATTTCTAAATTATACAAAAAAAACTAATCATTTTTCATTTTTTGGAAATTAAATTTGTTCTTGAAGGGGGTTTGGCGCATGATTAATTATAACACAAGAGGGTTTGACGCATTTTTTAAATCACATGAGGCTAATGCACTGAATTTATATTTCAAGAGGGGGTTTGGTGCATTAAACCCTTCTATTAATAGCCTACTAAGCTAGATTCCAATCAGTTCGGTTTTCACTTTAAATAAGTTTGAGGTGGTGTGATGTGGAATGTTAGATATACATCAAAAGAATAAAAGCTACATTAAAATAATTGTGTACATGAAGAATATATCTAAGGGTTTTTACTAGGCTTAAAGCTTGTTGAGTAAAGAATAAAAAAGCTCAGCGTAACTTCCATTCATATTCAAGTAATACCCCCATGACCACATAAGTAGTTTTTTAAAACACTTATGCCTCGCAAAATGCCTTGAGGTCCATGCCTTGGTCCACTGGAGGCGTAAGCCTCAACAAGTTTATTTAGCGCCTCACAGTGAGATGAAACTTGACACACGCCTCAAGAATGTCTTTTAAGCAATGCTCCCAATGAAACCACTTAGTTTTGCTGGCCCAATGAAACCACTTAGTTTTGCTGGCAATTTAAGAAGTGAGCCTCAAAAGAGTCTATAAGTTCTTAATCAAGATGCCCCCTGTTCAACACAAAAGCGGCATTAGATGATTTGCAAATTAGGGTCTCTGGCCTTCTAATGACGAAAGTTCTCTTTGCCTTTGTTTAGTTGGGGGATATTGGGAGAGGGAAGGAAGAGTGGTTTTTGTTTTTTTATTTAATGAAGTAGTATTACTTTTGGATGATTGAAAGAAAATTTAGATGAAGATTTGTATAGAAGTAGATCAACTAATTAAACATATAACAATTTTGTAATTTAAAATTAATCAATGAAGACAAAATAATAAAACCAAAATCAATCCTCACGTCCCCTTCCCAAACAAATATCACAACCAAACACACAACAACAACATTACCCCTGTGCTGCAAAGGCTCTACTAAAGCACATAGAGATTGTTTCCGGATAACCCATGATAAAAACCGCGTCGAAAATTGCATGGATTGACTGGTGCTTAGGGAATTTGATGGTCACGCATTATTATGGAAATGTGAAACTTTCCTGTAAGATTGCATACATTTTCATTCTTGCATTCATAGTTTTTGATAACTTTGATGTAAAATCAATGCATTGCATAGACTCTGGTTTGTTGAAATTGTCAATACATGAATGAATGTGTAATGAAGATGATGATATACTGTATAATATTTTACTGCTGCCCTGTCCAATGTCTATGCAGGTTTTATTTTTTAATAATGGATGTTGTGCACGGAAAAGATGAGGTGGAAGAGGGTGAAAGCTTGCTGCAAACAAAAGGGGGTGCGAATATACATGTAAATGTTCTGTTCTTTGCTCGTGCCACTGACCTCACAGGCTTGAAGAATATGCCTCTGGAAGTTTCGTTGGGCAGCACTGCCAGAGATTGCTTGGATAAAGTTATCATCAAGTTTCCGGGATTGCAAGAGATACGTAATTGCATGGCCCTTGCCCTGAACATGGAATACATCACAGAATCTACCATTGTCAAAGACAAAGATGAGCTTGCCATTATTCCTCCTATAAGTGGAGGTTAGGACGCTTCATCCCCTTGTCATGTAAGAAATGAAGGATTTGGAAGCTCACATACATATTACTGCAATGATAATAAAGCCATTTGCAATGTCATGTGTGTGTACATACTGATATAAATACACATATACTTGTCCGTGTACTGTGTGACATAAAATCATTGTTATTGTATTAAAGCTTACTTCAATTTTCCTATAAGAGGAGTTATTACTTAGTAGCAATTTGCCTTTCCTGAAATTCAACAATTTGCTCCCTCATTAGAACTTTTTACTCGGGCTACGCTCGTTAAAAAAATTATAAATCCCCATCTTGTTACATTACTAGATTGCCTCCATCATCATGTTTCCCCCCTTCTTGCAAACGGAGCCTCCCTGGAGTATATGACTCTCTTTTTCTCAAAATATTGCTAGATTATGTGTCATACATCGATAAGGTATAAGCAGGGGCGAAACTAGTAAGGGGCTTGGTCCCTTGCAGTTTTTTTTTATATTTATTACTCCCTCCGTCTCGCTAGAAGGTTCCCGTTGACAGTTTACGATGTTTGATTAACGATAAAACAACTTAATCCCTGTTCACACTCTGATTATTTTTAGTAAATAAAATTAACATATTCAGAAACTACATTAAAACCGCTACAAAGCCTGATAAAAAAATGTAAATTTGATAAAAAATTGATTTATAAAGTAAAAGATTAAAAATGATTTAAGTTGACCATGTGAATAGTGGACGAGAACCTTCTAATGGGACGGGGGTAGTATGTGTGTGTGTGTGTGTGTGTGTATATATATATATATATATATATATATATATATATATATATATATATATATATATATATATATATATATATATATATATATATAGGTTTTGGTTCAAATAAGAACATGATCTTAGGAGAAAATGAGAATGGATCTGGACCGTTAGATTTGCTTTATGTAGAATTAAATGTGCATTAGATGAAACTGTAATGCATGTGCATTAGGTGAAATTGAAATGTGCAGCACAAATGATACGATATAGTGACATTATATGAAGTTGAATTGTACATTAGTTGACATTGAAATGTGCACTAGGTGACATTGAAATGTGTAGAATAAAATGTACGGTGTGATGTTATTTTTGTACCTTTTATTTCGCACATTTAAGTTTCATCTAATGCACATTTGAGTTTAAATTTGTATTCCGCACATTTCAATATCATTTAATGCACATTTCAATTTCACCAAATGCACAATTCAGTTCAACATGATACAATCCAACGGTCCAGATTCGTTCTCATTTTTCTCCAAAGAGTCTCTTCTTACCGGAACCGCTTCATTCAAAATTTGGTCCAGATTCGTTCTCATTATAAGTCCGTTCTTACCGGATTCGCTCTATATTTTTCAGTGTACAAATATAAGTATGTTTGCTTTTGAAATACAATCAATCAAGTTATTTTTACCTGCTATAACATGTTTTTTAGGAAAAAATAAATTAGGACTGTTGATAAATTTTATAAAAGTTAATATAACTTTAAAAAAAAGTTAAAAATATATAAATTTAAAAAAAGATTAATATTTCAAAAACATAAAAATGAAAAAATAAAAAATCAGAAAACTGAAAAAATAAAGTGATAATGTCAAAAATATAATATTGGCTTTGACATTTTGAAATTTTTCATAATTTGTATATGTATTTCTTTATATTTTAACAACTTTTTTGAGATTTTTAATATAAAAAACGAGTTATTACAGGTCAAAAACTCTAAAATGATCGAATTGGTCATTTCTATTAAAGTAAGCTTATTTATATAAATTTTTTAGTATAAAAATTTAAGTGATGGATTAAAGGGTTTAATGCACCAAACCCCCTTCTGAAATATAAATTCAGCGCGTTAGCCCCCCATGATTTAAAAAATGCGTCTAACTCCCCTGTGTTATAATTAATCATGCGTCAAACCTCCTCCAAAAACAAATATAATTTCTAAAAAATGAAAAATTATTAGTTTTTTTTTTGTATAATTTAGAAATTTTGACAAAGTTACTTGCATATTCAACCATATTATTAAAAAAAGTGATTTCAAAATTGTAAAATTTTTTCTTGAAAGGGGTTTTGCGCATAATTAATTAAAACACAGAGACGTTTCACGCATTTTTTAAATCACAAGGGTTAATGCGACGAATTTATATTTCATGGGTTTGGCGCATTTAACTCCCAAATTGTTTTGTTTTTCCTGCCCAAAAATCAAGAATCTTAAAGAGCAAAACCCTGGTGCTTGTGTCCCGTCGCCTTGAGCATTCATTCCGGTGTGAAAAAAGACTTGGAAAATCCACCAAACTCTGGTGCAACCAGACACCACAAACAACCATCGTAACCGGATGGTTGACCCAGCAGTTCACCAGGTAGTCAGGCACGGAGGCACCACTCCCGCGCACTCATCGTTCTAACAACCTCTGTCAGCATCGTTAGAAATCAGACGCACTCATCGGCCTCTCAGTTTTACCAAGTCATTTAACTTTGGATTCATTGAAACGAATCAGCTAAAAGGTTGAGTTATCTTGTGTCTATTTGCGTTTCTTCTTATGAGTTCACTTCAGTGTTCGGAACCTTACTTGTTTTTTCAGGGATTCCACTTAATGGACATTTACATACCGGAAATCTTGAAATTTGGAAGTAATTATTGGGGAATAGTACTGACATAGAGGGGCTATGCCCCGTTATTCCAGACTATCATTCCATTTACTCTGTAGATCTTTTGGTCAAAGGGTTATCCAGGGTTTTTGTTGTTTTAGCAGTTTCTCAGTTGGTGATAGTGTAGTCAATGGGCTTGGAAGCATAGAGTACCACTTGAGTGAAGGTTCAGAAACTCCAAATTTTGATCGCAGTTTTGAGGAAAAGCTAAATAGACGTTTGTCCATCAACGGATTTTCTGAAGGCAATTGCTCCCAGCAAAACCACATTCCCTCAAGTAAAAGTTTTGCTGGCAATATTAGAATTGACTCTCAGAGGATTCTAGAATCTCTGCATCTAGATGGTCCTCCCCAGTTTGACAAGAAAGCAGCTTTAGATGATTTACAAGTTAGGGTTTGTGGCCTTCTAGTGAGGGAAGTTCTGTTAGGGATACTAAGAGTCACAATTTTTTATGAAAATAAGAAACATTCATCTAAAATTGGGTACGTGTTCTTTGAAAGGGTACTATTAGACGAGATGATCGAGAAAGGGTACCCGACAACTGCCCGGACTTTCAACATATTGATTTGTAGTTGTGGTAATGCTGGATTAGCTAGGAAAGTAGTGCAAAAGTTTATTCGAACAAAGAGGTTTAACTATAGACCATTCAAGCATTCTTTTAATGCAATCCTGCACAGTCTACTATCCATAAAGCATTACAAGCTGATCGAATGGGTGTATCAGCAGATGTTGCTCGAAGGCCATTCCCCAGATATTCTAACTTATAACATACTTCTCTGTGCAAAATACAGACTAAGAAGACTTTGTCAGTTTAACAGATTGCTTAATGAAATGGAGTCAAAGGGGGTTTCCCCTAATTCCCACACATTCATTCTCCTTCTTCATGTTCTTGGCAGAGGGAACAAACCACTGGAAGCTCTTAATCTTTTGAACCATATGAAAGAAGTAGGGTGTAATCCTAGCATTCTCCACTTCACTACTCTGATTGATGGGCTTAGCCGGGCCGGTAACTTAGATGCATGTAAATACTTTTTTGAAGAGATGGTGACCCAAGGTGGTTGTTTCCCTGATGTTGTTTGTTACACTGTAATGATAACAGCATATGTTGTGGCCGAGGAGTTTTGTAAAGCTGAGGAGCTTTTTGGTGAGATGGTAAGCAAGGGACAGCTACCAAATGTGTTTACCTACAATTCCATGATCCGCGGGCTTTGTATGTCTGGGAAATTTGTGGAGGCTTGTGATATGCTGAAAGAAATGGAGTTGAGGGGTTGTTATCCGAATTTTCTGGTTTATAGGTCTCTGGTAAGTCATTTGAAGAATGCTGGAAAACTTAAGAAAGCTCATCAAGTGATAAGACAAATGGTGGAGAAGGGGCAATATGCCCATCTTGTATCAAAGATTAGATGTAGAAGACGGTGATGGACAGTTCTCTGTTTATTGGTTTGCAACATTTGGTTGAAGAAAGAGGTCAATCAAGCAGGCATTCACCATCTGCATTGGGATTGTGTGTTTGAATGAGACACAATTGTATTCATGATGATATCCCAATAATGTGTATTTATTGATTTTTCTCTCCATATGGCAACCTTGATAGTGTTTGCTCAAATATAGAGAAATACATACATACTATGTATTTCAGTTGAGTTGAGCAGATACATGAATTTAGCACCTCTTCATTATGTCCGAAACAAATGACCTGAATGTCCGAGGAGCCCACGCCGGTTTGATCTGGTCTGAGATGAATGTTTTTGTCTGGTTTAGGACTGAACAAAACAGGGGCGGATGCAAAGCGTTGTGAATGGGGGCACATGTCCCCAATAACAATCACATTTTTAGTTTAATTATTTTTACTTTCAATTAATTAATGACTAGTGCCCCCAATAAAAATAATATTGATGCCCCCATTAAACACTACAATTCTTTTGGAATGCAAAAGCGGTGGAAAGTGGAATGGCAAGCCCGTAGGTGATCTGTTTATGATTTTTGGGATATTTATATATTTATTTATTTATAGATATTTGTATACCTATTTTGCAGAATAAGTTTTTCTTGGCAAATTGCAGAATAAGTTTTAGAAAAGTTGTTATGTTGGATTCTAATCGTAAATAGAGTAATAGACTAATAAAAAACGGAGTATTTAATTTGTATATTTACTTACTTCTTAGTTAATACATAGTAATTATTTTCATATATTTATTTTAGTTTATTTATTATTTTTCACTTTAGTCACTTATTATTATCTTATAAATCGCACTGGTTGAAAGGTGTTTTTGCAATGATTATTGTTACAATTCAAGTTAGACAATCGTATTGGTGACAAGTTTTGTGAATAAAATTTATCAAAAATAAGCAATGAAATTAATAAAAAAACTAAAGAAAATAAAATCTATGGAATTGTAGGTCCTAAATTAATATTTTTTAATCATTCGGGTCCTATATTGACACGTTTTATCTTTCAAGTTTCGAATTGATAATTCATTTATCTTTTAAGTTCTATATTAATAAAAATTCTTGTCTAATTATGTGAATATATAATTAGAAATGAGAT